TGTTATGAACCTGGAGAACAGATTACCACTTCAATGTTTTTGAGGACAGCTGTCATATCTTTCCTCAAGTTTTTCTTCTCTAGACTAATTATCTCCAATTTATTCAATCATCTTTACAGCTTATGCTTGTTCTCCTCTGAAATCCCCAGTCACTCCACATCTTTCTTGACGCACATCCCCAAAATCAAACAAAGAAATTCCTCTGAGGCTTTATCAGGGCTGAGAAAAGTAGCAGATTCCTTCGCATGTCTTGCGAGCTAACTTCTGCTCACACCTCCCAGTGCATACACTGTGTGCCTTTCTCATACTATCATTGCTCCACTATCTGATCGTGCCTCTGATCTTCTTCCCTGGGGATGCTACCTAGCCAGGCGTTCCTCACCCTCCCTGTGTGCAATTGACTATTTCTGCTGAAGTGTCTTCAACATAACCAGACTGAAGTGATTTTTTTTTTCTTTTAGGCAGCTGCTTCAGGTTTCCAAGATTGTTTTGAAGCTAATCTTGTCCTCCATTGTACTTGCAAACTTTTTCAGCTTTATACGAGCTGCTAATTTAATAGTAGACTGCTTCATCACCCAGGTTAATGAAAATACGGAAGGGTACTATGTTGAAAACGGAGGTCAAAAACCGACCTCATTTTGTACATCCTTCCATTTGGGGAGTGAGCCACTGGTAATTACTCTCTGATTAAGGCCATCCATGAGTATTTCCTGCCTTGTAGAAGCTTAATTAATGTCATAGATCTCTCAGCCATTAGATTAGCACTGAGGTAGTGCCAACCGCCTTGCTAAAGTCAAGCTATAACATCTACTGCTTCTTCTGTGTCTACAGATCATTACCCGTCATAGAAGAAAGTCAGGTTAGTGTGACACTGTTTCTCCTGGATAAACCCAATTAGTCTCTTACTCATATTTACTTTTGAAAGATCTTTGAGAAAGTCTGATGAACTGTTGCAGGATTTGTCCAGGAATTGATGTTCAACTGGCTGACCAACAATTCCCCAAATTCCCTTTTTTTTACCCTTTTGAAGAGAGGTGAATGCATTGATTCCTTCCCATCTTTCACTGCCTCCCCTGTTTTCTATGGGCTCTCCAGGGTAGCCTCCGCCAGTAGGGAGGTTGCTTCAGCCACAGCTAAAAGTCATCTTTGCTAGAGAGCAGGATGACTTGCAAAGATCCTTTACCGGACTCTGCTGCAATTGAAAGGGGAATAAAACCTTTAAAAACGGTTCAGTAATAGTAGAAAAATAAACAATATCACCTTAGATATGATGAAATAATACTGTTATTCCATCTTTGGTACATTAACATTAACTGAGTAAGCCTTTTCTTGCCCTGTGAAGTGGGCAGTATTTTGCTCATTTAGCAGATGGGGAAACAAAGACCTGAGTATTGAATTTTTGTGAGAGAAATACAGAGATTCCTGTTCTCAGGATTTCCCACTGAAATTATCAGGCTGCTCCTAGCAAAAGGATTTCTAGGTCTTGTCCTGAGTTTATCCCTTAAGCCATGCTGCCAGTTAGTAGCAAAACCAGAAACTGAAACTAACCTAGCATCCAGCTTCCAAACTGGTGAACGGAGCAAAAAGTCACAGTCTTTATGCAAGGAGAAACAGCTTTGTAGGTTCTTGCATATAGGGCAGCTCACCAAAGCCCTTGTATCTAGCACAACGATATACCACAAGAAGATACCACATCCAAAGCCTACAAGGGCCCTGAGGGAGGGCCCGAGCTCATTTCACAGGCTGCAGAAGAAGGTCAACCGAGGAGGCAGCAAATAGCTTTCAGGAATGGAAAACTTTGCTGCCAGAAAGAAACTGTCAGGTGTTGGGAAATTTTGTCTAATGACAGGGATAGAGAAAGATGATGTGGAAGCTCCATTGTCAGAGACCTTGAAGAAGAGGCTGGAGGTGGCTGGGAACAACTTAGGTGTACTTAATCTGATCTTGTAGCCAGGAGGATTATCATCAAGTCCCTGCGCTCTCTTTTCCATAACTCAGTTCTAAAAGGCAGCAACATTAAACCTCTTTTTAGGTGGGAACACTTTCCAGATGTGAAAGTAGCTTTGTTTTCATACTCATATAACTATGAAAAGACTTTCTTTGAATGAAGCAGCCACATTTTTCAGGAGGATTCAGCAAAAGTGATGTGATTTTTTTTCTGTAGTTACTGGGGTTGATTAAAATTGTTCTGTCTAAAAGTTTTTTAACACAATTAAGTTTGCCATAAGAAGGGACCTTCCTTAAAAAAAAAAAACAATTTGAAAGCAGAAATGTTCTGGCCAAAACCCCCTAAACATACTTTGAACTGGACAGCCTGCTGTGGTTCCTGTCTGGAAGTATGCCCTCATTTCTTCTAGCCCCATTCCTTATCTGTATATGGATTCCTAGCTAAAATTCATTTCCCAGGACATGCTACAGCTGGGGAGTCCCCTGAAGCATCCAGCTCTTCCCCTAGTAAGACCAGACTATACTGCAGAAGATGCTGTCTAAGACGGAAACAGAAGAAGGAAGCAACCAAGTTATATATATTCAGCTGGAGTACCAAAGCAGCATTTCACTTTCCTCTCACATCAGTTCTACATATTTCTTCACGAAGTGTGACACTTCCAGGGGAAAGATTTGATGAAAAAAAAAAAAATCTTGGGTTTCCTACTGAAAGAACATCCATTTTCTGGCTGACATTGGTTATTAACATAATAACAGTCTTGATCATGCAGGTTATACACACAGGAGTGATCAGAAACAACTATTCAATGTGCAGCGACCCCATTTCCCTCAAAAAAATGAGGCAAACAGCTTCAAAACATTAGACATCTGCCCGAACATTTAACTTGCTTGCAAAAGTCCATTCCTTCAAGAAGATCTCCCACAGGTTTTGCAGCCGGCATTTCTCACTAAGGAGGCAACGGTAAAAACGCTGCCTTGTTCTATGTTGCCAGAAAGACATAGAGGAATTTGTTAGGGATCTTCCTCAATGCCTTCCCAAACAGAAAACTGAGCTAACAGGATCTGCAGTCAAGCTGTTCAAAGGAAATCACACTCTCTCTCCCGAAGAACAACGCAATTTTGAGGGAATTTCTGCTTTGCCGAGGGCTCATTTTCTGGCCGCTGAAAGAGCGGGGCGAATTCCTGCCGCTGCCCCTGCTCCCCACCACTGCGGACGCAGCCATCGGCTCCTCGCTGCTTCCCCTCTTTTATTGGTGAAAAGGAAGAAACGCAGATGGCTTGTCAGTGTTTGCAAAAATGAGTCGAGAGAGCAGCTAATGGGTGAAACCACAGATGCCGCCATCTGGGCTAGCCAACGGTCGTGCGTGCGTGCGTGGTGGCACCAGCCCTCCCCGGGCGGCCCCTGCGCCCGTGCGTTTTTAATGATCCACACGGTTCATTTCTAGCCTGCAGTTTACCGAGGTGTTGACAGTCTGTTTTGGTGGTGAGGCAAGCTCACGTAGCCGCTGTCAACACCACAGTGAGCTTACGCCGAAAGGGCCCTTCAGAGCGAGCGGCTGGTGTAGGAGGCAGGTTTTCCAATGTCTCTTCACAAACCGGATAAACGCCCTAGGGGGGATGCGCAGGAAGCTCAGCCGTGGGGCTGGCACCGACTCCTACTCCTCCGCGCGGGAGCGCAAATGCCATTTGTCTTGTGCAAGGCAACGCCTGCAGGCCTCGCGCGGTCACCTGAGGAACTCAGAGCCTTGCCGGGGGGGAGAGGTGCACACCAAACAGCCCCAGAGGGCAGACTACGCTCACACTGGAAATTTAAAGACCGCGGAGTGTGAAGACCTGACAGGTGAGCGCGCTCATTCCCTTTCCCGTGTCATTAAAAATGTAGCTGAGCAAAGATGCTGCCATCAAAGAGCACCGTTCGCCTTCTGCCCTTGCAGCTGCTCCCGCAGTCCGGGCGCTGCTGCCAGCTCGAACGAGGCGAGCCCCTGACAGCCATTTCGCTTTTTCATCGCTCGCTTTCGTTTTCAGGCTCGTGGCTGAGCCCTGGCAGGGGCTGCGCAAGCGTCACCGCGGCTTCGCTTGCAGCTCACCCGGCCTCGGCAGCGCTGCAGGCTGCAGGAGCACTTTGGCTGGCCTGGAAGGGTTGCAAAAACCTGCTTTTGTCCGAATGGTTATTTCTAATTGTGCTCTTTGAGCCATGATAGAAATAATTCTAGGCTGAAAGGAAGTTATTTCCTTCTGAAGCATGGGGAACCATGGCAGGACTTGTGTTTACAGCACAAAAATGCCTCGAAAAGCGAACAGAAGATAAAATGTTTGACAGTATCAACGTTCAAATGTTGAATAATGTATGTTTTATACAGTTATAGACATTAAAACTCTAAGCTCCTGCAGCTCTCTAGGCGTACGAAGTCTCACTCCAACTGCATTTCTGACATAGAGATGCCCACGGTCCGTGCTGGCGTTGGTGTCACCAGCTGTGCTTTGGGACTAACGTAGCCGTAAGCGTGCAGGCTGCGCAGCGTGCCCAGCTGTGCTGGCCCTGGCCATCAGCCCCTCGGGCTTCCCCGCGTGGGACGTGCAGGGGCGCATGCGCGTGAGAGGGCAAGCCAAGGGGAGGAAACTTCTTAAGGAAAGTTTCCCAGGAAATGAAATAACCAAGGAGGCCTAGGTGAGGCTATGGGAAAAAAACCTTACTTTTCTGCAACTGAACCCAACGCATCATGAACAAATACTAGGAACCAGTAGCACCTTGTTTCCACTTCCCAGATCTCCAAATACTAAAGCCAACACTTCAGCCACCGTTCCCTGCAGAGCAAAAACATGAACTTTGGGAAGCAGCCAGTGAAAAAAACAAAATCATAAAATCACTCCCCGACCCCATGCTCGCCTTGCAAAATCTGCAGGGATTATTTCACCAAAGACTACGCGTGTTTTTGCAGTACAGCTGTTGAAATAGATAAAGGAGTGATTTACGATGTGCATAGCAGTTCTCTGCTCACCAGTGCAGTAACGAACGAACTAGTTCAGCAAGCAAACATAACCTGAATACGTACCGACGCACGTGTGTCCTTTGTACACCCCGGAGAAGAGCGAAGGGGCCGATGGGTCGTTTCCACCGGTGAGAGGGGAGGGAGATGCAGCCTTCAACAGAAGCGGGAGCCAGAGGATGCAGAATACGTTAAGAAATGTCTGTCTAGACCCTCTCATCCTAACGAAGGAGAGAAAGAAAGAAAAAATTAGAAGGGGCGAGTACACGTGGACCTTTATTCCCTTAAAGCTCAGGGAGCCTCCTGCATCCGTCTGTCACTAGCAGCTTGAGGAGAAAGGACGCGCGTTCTCATATATACTTGTATACTCATATGTACTTATATGCTCACATATATATAACGCAGGGATAGCTTCTCACCCGGACGCACACGTCTGCCCCTCTCCCCGAGGATCCTACGCTCGCAGTCTCGGAGGCTTTCCTGGGTCCCTGCCGCCAGCACCCCCTCACCCCCTCTCCGAAACCGCTCGGGCACGGTCACGCAGACTCCCACGCCGACCCGGCGGCTCTGCCGCGGGCCCCGGACCCGGGGGGTGAGCTGCCCGAGCTGCCCCCCTTGCAGTGTCCCCTGCTGCCTCTTCCCAACCTGCCGGCCCGGGAGGACCAGGAGGCTTGCACGAGCGAACGCCTCTGGCTCCGCGCTCTCGCGTCTCTTGCCTTAGCAGCGGATGACTAACGACCTTAAACCACAATCCTTGCCGGAGCCACTCAGCGTTAGTAAGGCAAGACACTCCCCTGAACAACTAGTGTTGCGAAAAAAAAAAAAAGAAAAAAAAACCCCCCCCAAAAAAAAAAAAAAAAAAGAAAAAACAAGTCATATACAATACAGTACCATACATCACACTTCCCTTCTCTGCTTCCTCTAGATTTACTTCAATCCCCCTCCACCTC